ACGAGGGAGCCCGGTGGAGCTGGTGGACTGACGGGCCACGGCGGAGAGGAGGGAGCTAGTAGCAATGGTGGAGCCACTGGGTCGACGGGCCGAGGCGGAGTCTGGGACTCAAAGCCTGGAGGCAGAGACAAGGGATTGAGGGACTGGTAGGATACAGAGGGGTAGAAGATGACAGCCGACTGATGAGAGGAGGTGGGAGAGGTAGGCTGGGTGGGGATTCATGACAGACAGCAGATTCTTGGATGGTGTGTGCTGCCCACACACACCAGATCACGACTCCCAACACCGGGAGCGCGGTGGACAGGTGAACGACCTCCGTGGTCATCACAGAAGCCTGTTCGATAGTTCAGAAACGTTCAGGGATGGACGTTGCCGTCTCGGGAGGAGCAATGGTGGTGTGTGCAGCCCACCAGTGGCGGCTGGTCAATAGGGGGCGCAGTATTATTATATGCACAATATTAAAATAGATAAATAATAGTGTCCCTTCTTCAATTGGACATACATTTAGTCATGTCTGACAACTTGACAAATATGTTGTCAATACCATTTTAGTAGATTGCCATTTTGCATACGTATTATATTGGGCTTTATTAAATTTTATGAAAATATAATGAATTTATATGCAATTTTTTACTAGAAGTCAATTTATTGAACAATTTTCACAGTCTTTAAACTGAGATCTTGAAGGATTTGATATCCTGTGGCTCCCTCGTGTGTACAACATTAGTATTATGGCTTTCATATGATAAAACAGCGCTGCTTTTTTCCCACATATGCACGACCGGAAGGAGCGGAAACGGTCACACTGTGCCATAATAAAAGCTCCGCTGCTTTCGAGCCATGTGTCGCGCTCGTTCAGCGGCCTTGTTTCACTTCGACGGCTTTCAGTCTCACCCTGCTTCAATCTACTACGTTAATAAATCATTAGCTCATCCATGAACATGATTTTTGCCCGAGTCCCGTCGGATTGCATCGGCTGTGGGGATGAAGACGACAACTCCCATGATTCCACACTCAGTCACGGCGTCATCAAACTACGCCTTTGTCTCTTTGTTTATTTTGAATACGCGCCCTCTAGTGGCGAAAATTACATATTGTGCCTTTAATACACCCACGTTAAACTCAAATTCGTGGTATCTTATTTCATGCTTTAACAGTTTAATTTACAACTTCCATTTTTTAGCTAAGCAGTAATGATACATTATGTCACTTTTTAAATGGTTATTTAACAATTGCATTCAGTCCTGCTGCCTGCATTAACAGTGTGATTCTGTTTGTTTGCGCCCGAAATCTCTGATGCCACAGCAAAAATGGCTGCCCACTGGGTGTGTGTTCACGGTGCGTGCTTGTGTGTACTACTCACTGCTGTGTGTGTGCACTCAGATGGGTGAAATACAGAGCACAAATTCCGAGTATGGGTCACCATACTTGGCCTCACGTCACATCCTTTAACAATGCATTGGCGCAAAAACGCACACCTTTTGGTCCAATTTCGCAGCATGATTTCTCGACTGCCACAAATACTGCCCTAACAAAATACTGATTGTGTGCACTTTTTACTTGTACCAATATTTTAAACTGGTCGTTGAACTTAGCTTTATTGCATGGTAAAAAATAAAAATCATTACCTTACCAAAGCACTGACAAAACCCATTGATCTAATGGTGTTGTTAAGCATTCCAAATGCAAATTTTGCATGCAACAATCTGGCAGCAGTTGATAGCGCTCTGATCCAATGGCAAACAGGTATCGTCAGATTGACAGTAGGCTACTCTAGCCCAATGATGTTGGAGGATCCAGTGGAGGCGGCAATCATATTTCAGGGTGGCCGTGCCACTCTTTGGCCCAATCTCAATTCTATTTTATATCCCTTCCCCTACCCCATACATATGCCTACCCCTTCCCCTTGCCCCGCCCCCTTGAAACAGAGTGTCAAGGGATAGGGCTGAAAATATTCCCGTAAGAAATGGGACACCACTACTACACCGTTACACGTCATCATACATCGTCGCTAGCTCCTATGTCAAAGAAAATGTGCAGATGTTTATCACAAACTTCCACGTATTCATGTATTTATGTATGTAAAAACAATGCATTGATCAGACGTGCGTTAAAAGATAAGTTACCTGCCACCGGACTAGTATTTATGTTGTCAAATCAGCGGGTAAAATATGTTGTGGAATTATCATGCAGTCAATAACATTAGCAAACTTTTATCATAGCTATTTTTTGCAAATGTTTCTAGAACATAACCGTATATATGAACACAAGATTGAATGGAACAAAAAACAAATGATTATTTGTTATAAAAATCCTTATATACGCCAAAAATACTTACATTTATAGGTCTCTCTGCTTGCTTGGGCAGCCATATTGCCGTATGCTGGGAAATTTATCATACCCCTTCGTTTGAAGTGAGGTCCTGAAAAATCTTCGTTTGAAGGGCTATCTGGCCACTCCCCCTACTCCTAGCCCTACCCCTCCAGCCAAAAGGCATCCCTACCCCTTCACGTGAATGCGTGAATTGAAGGGGAAGGGGTAGAATTGGGATTGGGCCTTTATCACAACCCTTCTCAAATTTTATTCAAGTACTTGTGCTCATTGGCACCCCCTCCTGCTGGTGGCGCCCTAAGCGACCGCCTAGTTTGCCTATGCCTAGAAATGGGCCTGTGTCCAGGAGTAAGTTCAGTAAACTCAGAGTAGTCTATATGTTCACGGTTAACACACAAGACATTCTCAACAGAGCAACAATTTTTTTTATTTAGAATTTTTTTATTCTGAAAATCATTGTATTTTTGAACATGTTTGTCTGTTTCTTTCTTTGCATGACTCTTTCCAACTACATGCACGGTTTGAGCTGTAACAGTGGTGAATATGGTAAGGTAGATCACATGACAGCAATTTTTGTAGTATTCTGTGCCGTAATAAAGGCTATGTCGATTAGCATTGCATTACTTTATTCTTATTAAAATACCCGAGATGTCTAGAAGAACACAGATAAACCATATATTGTCACAATTGTATGTTCATTGTCTTCAAGTTTCATCAATCAAAATGCCTCTATCTGTTTTATTCAGGTACAGGGATAGCATGATATCTTTGTCCGTATAAGGGATTTCCTGGAATGTCATTATGCCTATATAAGTTTTATGACTTCTATAGGTCTCACTTGTGGACTTTCTGCACGAGGGTGCTCTCAGGCTCTCAGGAGTATGAATGAAACATATCACGTGTGTACTCACTAATGCTCACAACACCCAATTTTGGGGGGGGGGGCACAAGTTTTTCCCAGATAGAGAAGTGTACAGGAGTTTATTTTTCTGTCAGTGGATGCATAAGATTTACTGACAAAAGTTAAGAAATTACTCTCACAGATTTTTTTATATAATAATATAATATGTATTCTTAAATATTCATTTTTTATATTATAGTGAAATAGTGTCATTACAATAGTCATATTTCTTATTTTGTCATAATTATTATTATTTATATTGATATATAAAAAAACAACACTTTGGCCAAATTATGCAACCCTACAAACAAGCACAACAAAACTGGTGTTCTTTATCAAATATAGCAGTTCATAGACTTATCATAATCTATATCTTATCATAATCTCAGGCAGTTTAGCAAAGATGAATAGGCCAAAATTTACTTTTGGAAAAATAAGTAAAGCTCATTTCAAGTACAGGTAATGTTTAGCTGCATTTATTGCTGCTGTGCAAAGTTTAGTTTTTTTATAAAGGCATTTACTTGTTCACAAAAGTGACACAAGCCAGTGTTAATTTTTTTTTTTTTTTTGACTGAAAGAAGAAAATAAAGCATAAAAATGCTGCACTGTGTCTTAACTTCCCTATAATGCTGCATGTTGTTTGATAATATGCAACTAGTTCTCAGAAAAGGCAATATTAGCGAATATCTATGTATTAATGTCAAATACTTTTCATGGCACTGTAACAAAATCCTTATATATGCCTCATGAAACCAGGTCGTAGGAAAATCTTGTTCTCCTCTTTTATCTCCCCAATAGCCCAAATCTATTTGACCAATTAATGCATTTGCATTGCAAGAATGAACGCTTGTCTCTGACCCTTTACTCCAGTTACGTCATAGACTCACTCAAATGTAAGCTTGAAATCGTAAAATTTAATTAAATACTAAACTAAGTTGAAAACACCGGAGAAGTGAAAACATGTTGCCAAGTATGTAAGTGTTTGATGGCAAAAAATGTGGTTTAGAGTCTTGCGTAGGGTACGAATCAATGCCTTTTATTGTCATTATACACACATACAATTACATTAGAATAGCTTATATCACATAATATACAACAAAACATTCAAGAGTTGAAATGCAAGACTTAGGCTACATTCAAGGTACAAAGATTTACATTCAAGCCTACTAGCGTAATTCTTACTGGATTATGTGCAATGCAGTTTACGGATTACATTTTTATATAATAGTAGCTATGTCGAATAATGAATGAAAAACATGTTAAAAGATTGTGGCTGATATTGCTTACAGTTCATTTCTAACATCTCAAATACAAGACTGAATGCATAATGCATTACAGTGCATTACCTTTACTCAATCTTCTAGCAAACAGTATGTCTTCTGGGTGTTTCTTGCATATAGATTTGCATTCTTTGCACAATATAACTTTAGAAATATTAAGTATGATAATACTAATATGCTATTCCAATATAACCTAACTTAGTGACTCAAATGGAAGCTAATCAAACCAACTCGCGTTGAGAAAGTTAGTTAGGTCTGCATGCCTGTATTTGACTGAATAATAATTGATTGCAGTGTGAATTCCACTTCATCGTTGAAACCCCCCAGTCGCGGTCAACTCTAATGTTACATCAAGAAAGATATTTCATGTAGGCTACTCGAGATGTATGAGACTTGTGCAGCGTAAAGTGAATAGAAATTTGTCTTCACCTGGTGGCTAAATTGTAAACAGCTTTTTGTTGTAATTCGCTAGTTGACAACGTCAAAATTGTGCGCCACATAAGTCACTGGGGGCGCATGTGTTGAATCAGCACCGGCGGCGAGTCCGTTTAACTAGTAGTTGATTTAAAATGACGGTGTTTCACGACGAGGTTGAAATAGAAGATTTTGAATATGATGAAGAAACAGAAACATATTATTTTCCTTGTCCATGTGGTGACAGATTTGCGATAACGAAGGCAAGTTTTGTTTCTCCTGGAACATCAGAATGACAGTCATAACTTGACATTTTCACTTTCTTAAATGTAAACGTGTATATATTTATATGTCATTTATTAAAGAGTTGTATTTGCATTTGTGTAGTCGTTGTAACTTTTACAATGTTGTTATGTTAGCGGGTAAAGTAATGAATACATTTTTTGGAATAGTTAAGAACTACTGCAGAACTAGAAGATATTAACCCAAAAAAAAGAAAGAAACTGACATTTAATTGATCTAATAATATACATCTGTGTATTGACTCAAGAGGTGTCACTTAAAGAACTACTGCAGAACTAGAAGATATTAACCCAAAAAAAAAGAAAGAAACTGACATTTAATTGATCTAATAATATACATCTGTGTATTGACTCAAGAGGTGTCAGGGTATAACTAAGTGGCAAATACTTTTTAGGTGAACGAAATACTATTTTATTAAGGGGAAACTGCTGTTTTTCAGGAGGATCTTGAGAATGGTGAAGAAGTGGCCACCTGTCCGAGTTGCTCACTTATAGTAAAAGTAATCTATGATAAGGTAGGATGTTTAGTATGTTCTGATATGTGTGTATAGACAACATCGTTTGGTTATTTGTTGTTGGTGTTGCACTGCAAAAAAATTAAGGATAATTTAATAAACAATCACATCAGAGTCCTCTTGTTTGATAGCCTTGTTTATAAATTAAAAACCGAAAAATATGTTATATTGTTATCTGGTAACCATTTTGTAATAATATGAGTATTAATGTTCTTGTTTTATTGTAGAAATAATGACCGTCTTGGTCACTCTTTATTGATTTTTCTTGTATAATGATAAAATAATAATAATAATAATAATAATAATAAAGCTTCTTAAATTAATTTAAACATTCACTGAAGTGAATTTGAAAACTTAAGGATTACAGCTAATAAATATTCATAAATTATTGTGGGGGGAAACAGAACAGCTATTTACAATACATGGAAATATAGTCATTTAATTTCTGTGAAAGGGCTTAAAAATACCTTCTTAGAGTATTCTGTTACTGCGACTACTTAAAGATTTCTCATAACATTTGATCTTAGTTGTTTTAAAGGTTCAATTATGAGAAATGTGTTCAAATTCATGTTAGTTTATTTAAAAGCCTAAAATATACACTTTTTGTTGTTGTAGGAGAGGTTTATGTGTGGAGAAGTAATTGAAGCACCAAAAGCATCAGAAAACAAACTGGAGCTGGCCCAGAGTTGAGACAGACATCGACATGATTCTTTCACCTGATCCTTTGCCCTGATAATAGACTTTATGCACACATCTGCCATTTCACAGTTACTCACTACATATGCAGATCTTTTGTGAGAAAAATGATCACATGGACTTGAGACTTTTAGCACCAAGATTTTGCACACAATTTACTATTCTGTTTAAGTTATTTATTCACTCTAAAAAATGCTGGTTTGTTTCAACCCAACTTTGGGTCAAATATGGACTAACCCAGCTGTTGGGTTAAATTTTTAAATTACATTTTTAACCCAAAAGTTGGGTTAGTCCATATTTGACCCAAAGTTGGGTTGAAACAACCCAGCATTTTTTAGAGTGTTAAAAGAAAAAACATGCCATGTTCTCGATAGAAAATACATTTTCAGGAATTGAGAACATCTGGAGTTTGATTATGTTTTAATATTTATAAAGAATTATATACAATAATACTGAAAGACTTCAATGATCTCTTCATTTGTCAGTGGGGTGGTTTTTGGTTCTATGTAATTTGGGTGCTATTCCTGAATTTGTATATTTACAAATAATGTATATCTTTTATACCTTTTTTTCCCCAAGTCTGTCCTTTCAGCCTTTTTTAGAACTAAGCATGACTTAAATCAGTGCATATCTTACAATACCTCATGAGATTCTCCCCATTACCACCCCTTCCCCTCACTGCGGGATAATATTTCAGGATAGCATGCTATGTTTATAAGTAATTTCCAGGCCATGAAAAATATGGAATAGTTTTGCTCGGCTAGCTCAGCACTGAAATCAGCAGATTGCACTCTTTTTTTTGTTTCCAAAATATAGTTGAGGTCATAAGCTTACGTATACCATGTAGAATTTGCGAAATGTTAATAATTTAGACAAAAATAAGAGGGACCATAAATTGCTTGATTTTTTTTTATTTATTTTTTTTTTTATGTGGTACTGCCTCAAATAAATTTTTTACTTAATGGTTGCTTATATAGTCCACAAAATAGTAGCTGAATTTACAAAGAAGAACCAGTTCAAAAGTTTACATGCCTCTGAATGTTAAAATTGGATCAATGACTGTTTGTATGTTTTGCGATAGTTAAATTGCCCACTTTTCTTTAGAAAAATCCTTCACACACCCTTCCCAACAGTGACTGAATGATATTGAGACTCACACACAACTAATACAAAAGGTGCAAGCATTCATTGATGCTCAAGAAGCTTTTGATCATCCAGGCAACAACACACAGTATTAAGAATTGAACACTGGGTCTTTTCTGTAAATTCAATTATTTTGTCTTGTGGTATACAAGTAAACATTTGAAATATATTATTTTAAAAATAGCAGTACTAATAAAAACAACATGCAATTTTTATAATCCCTCTTATTTATTTATTTTTTATTTAAAATATTAAACTCATGTAACCTCAACTTAGGTAAACTTATGACTTGAACAGTATGTATTTAATATTGCCTTTTCAAATTACTTTTGGTGCAATAAAGTAGTTTCTTTTTCTTACTCAAGACGCATTAGAGAAAGTAATGAAAAATCCTTTAAATGCATTTTATTCAAATCTAATAGAATTTAATTCAAAGTAAATAATTTGCAAAAATTGCTTTTGAATTCAACCAAAAACCTATGAATCATGAATTGAACAGTCAACACAATGAAGACACAAAATTCAAGGAACGAACAAAAGAACTCTACCCGTTGATAAAAAGCCATATAATGTTAATATATAAATTTACAACATGTCATCCTGAGCTGCATGACCTCTGAAGCAAATTCTTCAATGTGTACTTCTTGGCATTACTTTTGGACACAAGGGGGTGCTATTTTTCAACCAAAAAAGTAAACATATGTACAGAAGAGTTTTCAAATTGTAGGTTATGTATGACACCCAATACAGAATTTGTATGAATTTGTTTATAATGCAAATGTAAATCCAAATGACTGCAAATCTAGCCTAAATCTAGAACTCAGTAACAAATGGCTTGTAGTTATTATACTTCCCATACACAGGGTTGGGCAAAGATACATCAAATGTATTTTAAAATAAAATACCAAATACCTTAGTTTTAAGTGTATCAAAATAAACTTCAAAATACAGCAGCCACACAAGTATCAAAATAAACTACTGTATTTTAAAAAGACAAAAAAAAAAATACTTTAACAAGGGAGCGTTAAATTTCTTCGTAAACCTTCCATCAACTGGCCTATTTGATAGCAACAGCTTTTCTCTGCCCGAGCCATGCAATAAATCTGGCATCCCTGTAATCTCCCAGATGAAGGTTAGTTTTAAAGTAACCAACAGTTTAATGTTTAACAGTTTGTGAATGGCTCATAATTGTATCTTAATTTAGTTACTTGGTGTTTGGTAACGAAGGGCCTACTTTGCATCAGCAGCACTGACTCAATGACAAACAAGTCATTCATAAGAAGACAACTGATGGCACCTGTATTCATAGCAACTAGTTTCTAACTAATTAATCATTTGATTGTTAATCATAAATATAATAATATATTATGTGTCAGGCAGTCATTCATGCAATGGTATGCAAAATCATGATCCTACTAAACAGCTACTTCAATTAGGGTACAATATTCAGTATATTAAATATATCAAACATTTATTTATCAATCATTGGACACCTATTTGGAAGTTGAAAACAAACATTTCAGCATTACAGCAATTATTAAATGATCAATATGTTTTACATTTTTGATTTTAAATGTAGCCAGAAACGTAATCAGAAAGTAGCAACAGAACTTGTCAAGGAGTATTAACCCAACTCCAACCACTGAATCTATTGAGAGCCATAGAAGTATATATACACTTATAATAAGTGCAACTGCACCAAGCACATCACATTCTATCACTCATTCATCCATGCTTCCTTTTCCACTCCAACGTTCCAATAATTCCTGCCCACTAAAAGCTGCACGGATATACTATATGCTTACCCCGACAGGCCTACCTATGTAAACGATTTAGAAAAAGTTTATATCACTTTATATCATCGCCACGATATGTATTGTCATATCACCCAGCCCTAACATGCAGTGATGCTTTAAACACATTTGACAAGCTAGTTGATAAAAAACAACAACCGATTAACTATTAAAACTGATTGGCTAACGCTATTTTTCCCCTTGTCAGTGACCTTTTTTCTTTCATGTTAACTGATGGCAAATCTGAATGATGCACTATTTTAACTTTAATCAACATGTACAATTGACCATGACATCCTCACCTTATCTCATTACAGAAAAGTCACTCACCCAATGCTGAATGGAGTTGTACAGCTGCAGCTCACGTGATGAATGTTGGGGTTGAGAGGAGGGGGCGTGTCTGGACTAAATCAGCACCCTCATAAAGAGGTTGACCGGCACAAAGTATTTTATGTATTTTGAAAATACAAAAATACTAATCTTAAATGCATTTAAATACAAATTACATTTGATTTTTGCCAAAGGCTTTAAAATACAAAATTGTATTTTGTTTTTCAAATACGTATTTTAAATACTGTACATGGATCTGAAATACTGCCCATCTTCTTCTTGCAATAACTTTTGTAACAGGGTTGAATTGTTGAGCTTTATGAATGCAACAAAACAATTGGCCTATATGTAGAGAGAGAGAGAGAGAGAGAGAGAGAGTTCACTCCAAGGAACATATTTGTAGATTTATTGCTTCAAAAGAATCAACTGAAATTTCATACTCTTTGGAAATGTTTTAAATCTAACCTCTCAAAAGTAACTCCTGACTATCTAAGACAAAAGATGTGTGTCTTTTGCATGGTTGAGCCAAACCTGGACTGCCATGAATTAATCCTTTTAGTGTTTCCATCCGGTATATATTCACAAAGCATAATTTGGCTTTCATTGATTTCCTGTCATCTAAATTTTGCCATTTGGCTTGTCAGTAGTCAACTTTGGCGCGTGTGTGTGTGTGTGAGAGAGAGCAGTTTTCTGTCCTTCAGATGATGTTGAAAGGCCCATCTCTCTGATGACTGTGGCATCCCTCATGAGCCAGCAGTAGGAATGCTGCACTCGGTCAATAGCATTTTAGCTCACTCTGAGCTAAGGATATGGGCTGCCACACACACACACACACACACACACACACACACACACACACACACACACACACACACTTCAGTTCAGAGAGAATCCCTGCATAAAATGAGTTAAGGCCAAGAATGATCATGTTCACACAGACGCCAACAACATGACATAAAACAGATGGTAATGTAAAAGCAAAACACTCATTTCATTAATCATGTGGCCTCTTTCTCTCTAACATTATCTGTGACACATTTACAGTTTTCTCATTCGCTAAGACACATTTATGAACACAACTCAAAATTATTATTATTTTGACAAAAGCTTATTTTTAAAACTGTATAATCTTTCGAACCTTGCTATCAAATGCATACAGACGCACTGAACACTCATTACACACTGAGATTAAAAACAATAGATCATTGCCTTTTACATGAATCATATTTTTAGAACAATGTCTAAGAACTTTGTAATACAATACTTGTGTAATCTACACTGATTGCAGAAATATTCAGGTAAAAAGAGTAGTAAGATTTTTAAAAATTCCTGAACACAGTTTTGGTTTTGTGTTCACAATATTGTTTTAGGAAAATTAAGCCTTTAAAATGTAAATGAACAAACACGTGAATGAAAAGTTTTGTTTTTAAATTATCAAATAGCATACAGAAAGAGAGGAAAAACTGATTCTGTAGTGTAACATGGCATTTATTTTTGAAACAGTATTAAGAATCTCAAAATGGTTGATATAATATGTCATATGATTGCCATGATAACATTCTCACATGCATATTTCTCATATTTCAGTCTTTCAGACCCTCATATTTATTTCAGTTTTAAGCATACATCTGCCACTTTCCATGATTATAACATATCAGGGTCTGTAAAACTCTGTTAGAGTGCACTTAAATTCTTAGTACACTTACAATTCTGTCAATTAAACTGTTAACTAAATCCTAACTTTTTATCAGCTACGCAATATCAGTTATGAAAGTTATTATAAAGTGTAACCCAAGAAAAAGTAGTTTTTATATACTGGGGGTCCCTGGGATGGTTGAGAGTCTGGGTGGGTTCTCATGTTTCCTTTTTTTTTTAGGAAGAAACAAATTGCAAACAATTAAGTTGACAATACATGGCTATCTTGTACATTGCCTTTCGC